TTGTTTTTTTCCTTTTATTTTTAGCTGTGTAGTCACGTCTAATAAAAAAGGGCATTCATTAAAGTTACTTTCTTTTTGTTATAAGTTATTTCTATAATATATGTAAATTACTTTTAGGCTTTATTGAATTTACTTTCATATGTCTAGAAAGTAATTTAGTGAAATCTAAAAGTAATTTAGATATATTATAAAAGTAATTTATAATTTTTCATCAAAATATAATCTTGTGGGATCTTGTTATAAAGATTTAATTGTTACGAACATAACGGTATAATCGGATCATAGATCGGATGAGTAGTTTAAGAGAAAATTGTATTTGAAGTATATGTGGATAGTGTCTCTAATAGATGGAGTGGTAGCCGGTTTAGACAAATCAGCTACCACTAGCTGTATAGTCACGTCCATTTATAACCTAGTAGCTAAATATCTAGGCGTTGCTACACTGTTAAATATGAATTATACACATGTTAGGCTGTGTTAGGATAAAAGGGTTCAAAAACTTTCCTTTTAGGCTGTGTTAGGATGAAAAGGGAGTGACTCAACTAGCGCATAATTAATTAAGTATTAACCATTAACAAATTTAAAAAAATATTGATATGATTTTTAAAAGAACTATCCTATAGAAAATTTTTGAAAAAATAACACATTGTTTAATAGTTCGGTAAGCGTGCGTGTGAAAAATGAGAGAGTAAATGTTAGAAAAAGGTGGTTCCAAACGCATCCTTAGTACTGTTAAGAACAAATCAGTTGTGAGGTTTTTAAAACAATTCAACCCTATGGATGTGTTTAGCATAATAAATTTGTATTTTAGAGATGAAATAAGACAATATGCAGAAGGTCTATTCTGTAATTTGTTAAGTACATTGTGTAGGTAGTAAAAAATATACGACAGAGTTGGTGGATGGCAGATTCATTATGCCCATTGATTTTTTTTTTAAAAAAGAAGAGTATAGAGAAGGTATAGGGTTATTGAGGTAAACAACCTATACAAAGGTACCATAAAAAATGTGTGCGCTTCCTATATCCTTTACAAAAGCCTTAAATAAATAGCCATTACATTTTTATAGGGTGGGAGTACTGTTCTATTTTGTCTCTCAATTCTCTCGAAGGTGTGAAAATATATCCACCAAAAGTTCCACGATCTAGCTAGCAAGCAACCGATGGGATAACTTTGTCTACATGTTAGAAGAACTCTTTGCATATATTGTTAACTATATATGGTTACTGGGATTCGAAGCCCTAAACTATTTGTTGCTGGTACCAATCCTATTTGTGCGTATATACTTGTGAAATGAGTGTACAATGGGAGGGGTATGGAAGGGATCAAAGCAAAAAAGCGAAAATTCAATGGTATAGAAGGAATCGAGATTTCGAAGGTATGGAAGGGATTAGGTGAGTTTTTATGAGTACACAGGAGATTTTATCATATATATTCGGCAAAAGAAAAGATTACACCGGCCAAGGAATATTTTCTGTGATTCTCGACCGATTATTTATTGATGCTGACAAAGGACTATAGAAAATAAGATAATTATATATATATAGTCATTTATCCACAGTGCTCACTAGGGATGGCAATTTTCCCCGCGGGGCCGGGTCCCCTGTGGGGGCAGGGGCGTGGCGATTTCAGACCCGTGGGTGAGTCAGGGTCGGGACCCCGTATTTGGGCGGGGAGGGGATGGGGAAGACGTTTCACCCGCGGGTGACCCGCGGAGCCCCGAGGATGCATTTTAGACTATTAATCATAGCATGTTGTAAGCCCAAAAGGCCCATCTGGCCTATCATATATACACATCCAAACCCTAATTTCCCCACCCCTCCACACCCTATCCCCAATCTCATTCTCACCCACCCACCCAGGCAGCCACCATCTCCACGACTCCACTGGCGGGCGGCGGCCAAGGCGCCGCGGCGGCATCAGCGATGGCAGCCAAGGCGCGCGCGGCGGCGGCGGCGTCGACGGCGGCATCGGGCAGGGCACGGGCGGCGGCGTCGACAGCCATCCGCGGGCAGCGGCCAGGGCGCGGGGCACGGCGGCTCGCCTCATTGCCTTCCAGCTCGCCGTCGTCCAGCTCGACGTCCTCGATCGTCGTTGTTGTCAACTCGCTGTCCACCGGCCCAGCTGGGTAGTGTGGGGGCCCGCTCACCCGCCGAGTCCCCTACAGGGACGGGGGCGGGTGACGTTTTCCACCCGACCACCTGCGGGGCCAGGGTCAGGGGAGAAGTTGGGGAGCGGGGGCAGGGGCGTTCCAGCCCAACCCGCCCCCGACCCGTCCCGTTGCCAACCCTAGTGCTCACCATGCAAAGCAGCCCCCTACAACTATGGCTTTCCTCGTTTTTAGGCGGGTTCCACCTGTTTGTAGAATTTTTTTTAGAAATAATATTATTTTAATAGAAAATTGTAAAAGTAGAAGCTGATCAGCTAAAATTGCAAGTTTAATACCCTGTCGAACATCCACAATTCGACAGGGGTACATATCGAACAACCACAATTCAACAAGGTACCTATCAAACTGCGGTTGTCTTCAACAGGGTACCTATCAAACTGTGTTTGTTCGGCAGGGTATAAAAAATACCCTATCGAACTGCCCCTGTTCGATAGGGGATAAAAAATGATAGAAAAAAAAAGAGATCAATCACTATGCGCACTGTACACTACTACTGTGCACCACTGTGCATGCAGACCTATCGAACTTTGGATGTTCGATAGGCCCCCTGCCATGCTCTTTCTTATCCTTTTTCTATTTTTTTAAGTGAACAACAACAACCCTGTCGAACAACTACAGTTCAACAGAACTGTGGTTATTCGATAGGGTGTTAAACTTGCAATTTTAGCCGATCAGATTCTACTTTTGCAATTTTCTATTAAAATAATATTATTTCTAAAAAAATTCCCTGTATGGGGACTTGAGAGCTCACATGATTTTTGGACACAAATTATTCATGGGAGGGTTGGCCTAATGTTTTGGGTTTGGGCCTAGTTAATGATCCAACACACCCAGTAAAGCCCAACAAAAGCATTTCCATTAAAAAATATATTGAGTCAATTTAGCTAATTTGAATATTACAATTTTATTGTGGGTCTCCCAACCCACATGTGTGTCATTGACCTGTGAGTCCTATGGTCCATATATATATCAGTGGTACGTACAAGTCGGAGTTAATCCTGAAGACACATTCTTAATGGCAGCATTAGTTGAATTGGCCTGGTAAAGTATCTAAAAACATTAGTTGAATTGGCCTGGTAAAGTATCTAAAAACAGTAATTTGCAACAATTAATTTCTAATTATAGAAAAAAGTTTAAGGTTTACCAGGCTTGAGCTTTTAAAAAGAAACCTCAAGCCTGCTAACATCACCTGGCTTGGCATACGAACAAGCTAGTTTGGGTGTTTGAGGCAAGGGGACAAACACTTATGTTAGTGTCATAGTGTGCATACTATCCACACTAGGGATGCAAACAGTTGAAAACGATGAAAATGATTTTTGATTGGTCAAAAATTTACATATTTACCAATTTAACTATTTAGTGGCGATTGCAACACTGCGGTGAAAAATTAAAATTAGAAAGAAAAATCAAATGTTCTATATGGCTAGAATGGAAAATGGTTGAAATGGCATATGGAAATGATGCTTGACTGGTCAGGAATTTCCATAGTAACCCATTTAATTATTTAGTGGTGATTGCAACATGACATTGAATTTTTTTTTTAGAAAAATCAATCTTTATATACGGCTAAAATAGAAAAAGGTAGAAAAACTTTTAAGCGATGTTGAGCCGATCGGGAATTTCGGTCACCATTTCATTCGCTTAGTTTATCTCTATATTTCTTAACCATTTATACAACTATTTAAGTCACATGCGCAAATAGAACATAACTTTAATTTCTACGAGGTGACGAGAGCTAACCACGACACGACCAGCAGTGGAGATCAGATCGGGTGGCTGCCCGTGCTCTGCCTCTGCTGTCTCCATTGTCGTTAGTCGTCGACGCATATAAAAATTAATCGATCACCGGTGTGGAGAAGCATATAAAAATTATGCTTCTAGCTAGCTTATAAGTATCGTTTACAATATGCACGCATGGCAGTAAAGTTTTTCTCTTGGCGGTATATAAAATGGGAAACTGTTTTAAACACTTGGGTGGACGTCCATCCGTTTCTTGCATGTCATTTAAATAGTTATGAAAAAATTTAAAAAAAACTGACATGATAGGTTAATATGTAATATATTACTTTACAAACATGTAAGTTCAAATTCAACTTCTACAAGTTGTAACAAAAATAACAAATTTGACTGTGAATATACGTATACTAGTTAGAGTTTAATTTATTATTTTTTTACAACTTGTAGAAGTCGAATTTAAATTTACATGTTTGTGAGGTGATATATTACATATTAATCTATCTTGTAATTTTTTTAAGAATTTTTTCATAATCATTTAGGTGGCATGCAAGAAACGGATGGATATCCACTCGAGATATTAGAATCCATCCTCGTATAAAACAGAGTATACAGGGGTTTTACCTTTCTCCTATCCAAACATCGGCTCGTAGCTGTTTTTGGTAGTTGGCACACGTTTTTTTTTCCTCTTCTTGGGCCACTAGTATACTCGAATTGACCCGACTTGCGCTCCCACTTACGGCGTACTCCTGTTTTATATAGTTTACCAGAAAAGCAGAAACAGAGAACCTAGTATATCCCCCACCCCACCCACGACCACAACACCGCCCGTCGCCCGCGCGGCACCACATTCCCCATTCCCCAACCTTAGCTAGCTACTACTGTCATGCAACGAATTTTGCTCCCCACGCACGCACGACGCGGCAGCCGGATGCCCTGCAGGTTGATGCATAGCTCGCGCGCACGCGCCTGTGTCCACACGCGAGCACGCGCGACGCTCGCGGCGCGGCTGTGTGTGTGTGTTCGCTCGCTTACCTCAGCCAACGCTGACCACGAGCGACAGGATAACCTTCAGAATTCCAAAGGGACAAGAGCACACACATGCACAGCGCGAGGGGCATCATGCATATAAGGGAGAGCAACACCAACGACGCAGCAATCTCTCTTCCATCTCTCTCTTTCTTCCAGACCGTGGCATGCACGGCTTGACACAGACGCTCTCGTACGTCGTCGTCGTCGCCGTCGTCCTCCTCGTCGGCATAAAGCAGTCTCCACTGCAAACCAGCTAGCTGTAGCTCTCAATTCGTAGGTGAGATCGACGCGCATCGCGCCGCGTCTACGTTTGTATATAGAGGGGGAGAGAGGATCGGAGGAGCCGATCGAGCTGAAGTAGGGATGGTGCTGAGGGCGTGCACAATGGTGGAGGGGTCATCTTTCGTCGTCGGCGGCGGCGGCGGCGTGCCGTTCTTCGAGTGGCTCAAGCCGCGGTCCTCGCCGCCGCCGTCGCCGTCCTCCTCGTCGACGACTACGACGTCATCGTCCCTCACCGCCCAACGACAACCGCGTGGTGCTGGTACCATGCTGTGCTTGCCTCTTCTTGGCAGGCTCGGAGAGGAGCCCGTTGATGCTGACGATGGCGGGGCGATGAACAATCCTCCTGTCAAGGAAGAGGTGAGCAATACTACAGACGACTATGCCGGTGTTGATCTCAACATCGGCTTGCCGGCGACGACCGGCGGGGGTAGCTCTGAAGATGCGCCCATGGATGAGGATGAAGAAGACGATGATGACGACGAGGAGGAGGAGACGGAGGATGATGAGGAGAAAGCAGCTGGGCTTGAGGGGTGCAAGGTGGAGGAGAAAGAAAGAGAGCAAGTACATAGCGAGGGATCGAAGTATTACGTGTCCGTGGGAGGAGGGGAAGATCAGAGCAGCAACGCCGGCGATGTCGACGCCGGCGCCGCCTGCCGTGGCCGGCGGTATTGGATCCCGACGCCGGCGCAGATACTCATCGGCCCGGTGCAGTTCGTCTGCCATGTCTGCAACAAGGCCTTCAATCGATACAACAACATGCAGGTGATTGATTGCATCGATCGATACACTACCCATCCATGCATGCATCTTGATTAACTTGGATGTCTCGTCCGTGAGACTCCATGTCCTCTTTTCTTAATTGTTTTGATCCTCTTATAATTAATTAACTATTTCGAGTTCGAGCATCTCTGTTTGGAATTCTTCTTTTCTTTTTAGATGTTGCGTCTTGCGGATGCTTTCAATAATTATGCATCTTAATATTAGTGCATATATACATCACGCGCGTGCATGCTGTGTGTGTACACATGAGAATGCTCAATTGCTTATCTCCTTTTGCTGTTCTTCGTCATTCCCGTTTATACCAAGCAAGTATTTCATGTAGACATGTACCCCACATGACCCGCAAGGAATCCAATTAATGCATAGAAAAGCAAAGAGAAACAAAACCACGCAATTCACATGCCTTTCCTCTCTCTCTCCAGCATGATCAAACCAAGGACAGACACACATACACACTAAACATTAATTAGAACCTGCCTAGAAATTCCATGTTGTGCATTGCACACTGCATGGCTAATTGCAAAGCACGTGGTAATAATTTTCATATGCCATGTACTTATCCAAAGAGATCAACTAAACTAATTTGGTGTGATACATATGCATGTATATGTATTGCAGATGCACATGTGGGGGCACGGTCGGGAGTACAGGAAGGGGCCGGAGTCGCTCAAGGGGACGCAGGCGACGGCGACGCTGGCGATGCTGAAGCTGCCGTGTTACTGCTGCGCCGCCGGCTGCCGGAACAACGTCGGCCACCCGCGTGCGCGGCCGCTCAAGGACTTCCGCACGCTGCAGACGCACTACAAGCGCAAGCACGGCGCCAAGCCCTTCGCCTGCCGCCGCTGCGCCAAGCCGTTCGCCGTCAAGGGCGACTGGCGCACCCACGAGAAGAACTGCGGCAAGCGCTGGTTCTGCGCCTGCGGCTCCGACTTCAAGCACAAGCGCTCCCTCAACGACCACGTCCGCTCCTTCGGCGGCGGCCACTTCCCCGTCGCCGCCGCCGCCGCCGCCGCACATGCGGCGGCGGCGCCGCCCAAGCAGCAGCAGCGAATCATACGCTTCGACGACGCAATGGCGCAAATGCATGGCGGCGGATTAATGAACTAACAGTGTTAATTGTTCTTGATCGTTAGCTAGCTATAGCTAATTGCATGTACACTTCCCCCTTAGTTTACACACACACACACACCCACACAAAATGCAATAAGATTATGGAGCTAGGTTGCCGAGGAGAAGCTAAAGGCAGTGAAGCAGCTGAATTTTCTTCTGGATGATGACCGGAGTTTGCATGCAATCGGGGGACTGACTGATCACATAAGGTTTGTTAGTTACCCGTAGCTTGGTAATTTGCAAGGAAGAAAATTTGTCAGCTTCACAGCCTAATGCTGGTTTGGCAGCCAAATGTATCAATGTATCACTCGTGCATGACTTAATTTTAAGAAGATCTGTTAATTAATCAGTTGTCAGCATCTAATGATTGATCGTTGCTGTTTTTTGCAAGCTTCTCTATGGTTGATTACATTATGTTTGCATGGATCATACGTTTCTTGCAGCATAATGTATGTATGCCCTGTTTCGTCCATATATGTGTTATATATATGTTGTTGTTTTTATGGGTTTATTAATGCACTGACTTGACTGTTCCAAAAAGTTAAATCACACTAATATCTGTCCATTTGGACCATTGTGGTGATATCATTATCAAGGAAACTAAAATGAGATGTAATATATGTTGGTCAAAACCTAGGAGAGGCACTACTGACCATATCCCTGCATATATAGTGTATCGCCAGTAAACAATTATGGATGAGAGTTATCAAATCATGAACTGCTCCCCACCTCGATCAGGTATTTGAATACTCTATACAGATTAATTAATACACAAAAAATCTGAATAGACACTGCAGATCAGGGTAGGTTTGCTTTCTTCAGGTTAATTAATTAGTAGGAAGGTTGATCTAGAGCTACTAACTGCAGACTATGTAGGTTTGGTTTGTTCAGGTTAAAGTAGGAGCTGAGGGTTCATCTTAGGCTATCTGCTGGAGTAGATATGAGGGCCAATGTACATTCCCGATTGATTTCAAATTATATATGCCATTTTTTTAGATTGTTGTACATGTAACCAAAATATCACAACTTAGATGTAAAAAAATGTTTAGATTCATCATTACACTCTTGTTTCACAAAAAAAAACATCACTACAGTCTCCAATATATTCCTAATAATATATTTATAATAAACTATTTAAAATACAAGCACACAGATGGGATTATGAAACAACACCTGTTCAGGAGTATACAACTTTCTTCCTTTCCTGTGGATGCACGCTTGTATGTCGTCATTCATGAATAAATTAGTCTCAAGTTTCAACATTCGCAAAGGCACAGATATTGGAACTTTTGGAAGTCAAGAAAACGACGAATGCATTGCACGCTCGCGGATTAGACATAAATTACGTTAAAGGATAAATTACACAAGGACTGCACTACTTAATTATAATCAGCTATCCAGATTGTGCATGCACCAACAGGGTCCTAAAAAGAGTTTTCAAAAGATATATGCATTTGTTGTGCAGGGAAAATTAGTTAAGTAAGCAGAACGACATGCCCTTTTTCCACAAAGTCTTTTATAGGAGAGGTAGTACTAACCTTTCGACTAAGTCCAACTTTGGGGCTCTTTGGACTCTGAACCAGATCACACGTTACTTGATACATTCCAACCTTGACGTAGTGAGTTGATCTAAGTGGGGTGGTAAAAAAGGCCGAAAGGAGGAAAAAAGTTTTAGAGATCACTAATTGCGTATGTTAGTGCGCTTGGCCAGGTGAAAATGCTATTACCTTCCTCCATGTTAAATACTCCCTCCATCATTTTAAAATGTATAATACCGTTGACTTTTTACATAATTTTTATCATTCGTCTTATTAAAAAAACATGAATATTATTTTTTTATTATAACTTGTTTTATCATCAAATAAAATATAATCTTAACTTATATTTTTTTATACTAAATTTTTGAATAATACGAATTATCAAGCGTTGTGTGAAAAGTCAATAGCATCATACGTTTTAAAAATAAGGTAGTATATAGCACCATTGACTTTAATTTGATATCTGGTTTTATAACTTTAGTTATTGTTTTTCTATTATATAACAATGATATCTATAGCAATTGTAAAAATACTTGTATAGAAAATCTACCTATATAATTTTAATTTTTTCAAATCAAAGTTACAGAATAAAATTAGCGGTGTCATATACTGAATACGCAATATGCAATATATATGATCACAAAGTTATACTTGTTTGCAATCTCAATTGTATTCTTTGTATTTTAATAATTCTGAAATTTAGTCCCTCCTAGCTAGATGAGGTGGCCAAATTTATTCGTTATTAATTTCTTTTTTGAATGTTGGAAGGTACTCTCTGTCCATTCTAAAATATATATAGGATTCAAAATTTATCACATAATATAAGCATTTCTACAACTACTTATCTTATCTTAACCAAATTATAACTATTTCTTATTTAATTTTTTCCACCCACTTCCTTATCTTAGCCAATCACACAACTATTTATGACCTCTTTCAGTAAAAAAAATTAAAAACTATTTCTCACTTTAATCTTAATTGTGCTAAAACTCTATGAAATGCTAATATTAGGATGGAGTAGGATATATAACTATTATTATTTATGAATCAATTGGCTTTTGTGTCTATTGTTATTGATTTTCTTGGATCTAAATCTAACAAAAATATAATTCTCCACCTACCAATGCAACCCCCTAACCCACACACACCTTTTACACGCTAGCATTTACTAGTAGGGTGGAAAAACAAAAGCTCGAAACTCACGGACTACCTTGTTTCTAATTGGTTCAGCCTCATGTTGTAACTTGTAAGTGAGCGAAACCAAGTTAGCTGTTGTACGCACTGCACCTATCAAGCCATAAAGAGATACTCATTTATAAAAAGATGGTTCTATCTTTTATAATTAATCCCTAACTAAAATATGTTACCATTTTCTGTAGGAAATATTTACCTCAATTTAATTTTATATGTGGCTATTTATTTAATCCATAACAAAACTAATAGAATAGAATCAGTTTCACTATATCAAAACAATATATAAATGGGCTGAATTTATCCTCGGGCATAGTAGAACTAAACTTTAATTTCTGCGTTGACACTTTGCATATACATATGCACACGCGAGCATGCACATCGGCCGAACCTGAAACTTACTGAAGTTTCCGAAGGACGATGTGAGCATAGGATCTGTGCACACCATTACTTCGTACTCTGGCCTGGATACGTGTCCGCCGCACCCTCCGTCTGAAATTAGCGGCCTCTGAATCCGCACGCGCGAGCACCGCGAGCAACACAAGGCATATGAGAAAAGAGGGAGGGAGACAGATTGAGACTGAGGGGGTAAAAGGCTAAAAGCAGCCGGAGTAATGGAGTGGACGCTGAAATTTGACACTTTGACCCTCCACAAAAAGTTTTTTAATGAATAGATCCTGCAGAAAAACTTTAGTAGTAAAAAAGAACTTACCTTGAGCACCATTGTTTTTGGCGTTAAATAACATCTCAGCGCCATATATTTTAGTATTGAGCACCATTGTTTTTAGCGTCCAAGTCACCATGGCTCAGTACTAATACTGCTAGCGCTGACCTTACATATAGTGTTAAAACAACAGTACAGTTCTACCGTCGTACAGTATTATGGTGCGGTGTCCACCGTACCCTTTTATGTTTGAGGTATAAGGTTTAATTCTACATGTAGTGGACATTTTATTTTTAATTTTTTCTCTCTTTACGGTAGAAGCATGGACGGGGCTTGGGTTTAACAGTGGCGAAAAAAAAAAGGAAAAACCAATGAATTTTACGTTTTACGGTCCAGCGCTCGGTACCAAAATCATCAAACCGTTGAATCCGGGATGGGTAGGATCGGGAGAGAAAATGAGCAAGAGTGGATGCGCTCGTCGATCCCGGCACTCCAGGCGGCCGCCGATTGAAGTCGACGTTCCCGGTGGCGGTGAAGTGGAAATCCAGCCAGCGGCGTCACCGATCCAAGGCGCCGGTGGCATTGAAATCGTCAATCCCGGCATTCCAGGCGGCCGCCGATTGAAGTCGTCGTTCCCAGTGGTGGCGGAATTGAAATCTAGGCGGCGGCGGCGGTGTTGAAGTGGTCGATCCAGCGGCAAGGACTTGTCGATCCTGGCCTGGCGGAGGAGCAGGAATCGCGGTGCCGATGGGCCGGGCATGCAGCGGGAGGAGGAGTCCATCCCGGCGTCTACGGGCGGAGAAGGAGACTGGACGCATTACAGGCGGCGGCAGATCGCGGTACATTGTTGCACGCAAAGTTACATTTTTGCCCTTCCACCTCTATCCTCCGCGAGGTACCGCATCAGGGACATAATTGGTACCTCACAGTACCAAACTCTACCGGTCGTTGGATCGAGCCAGATCCAACAACCAAGATTTTGGTACCGAGCTATACTAGTACCGACTGTTGGACCGTAAAGACGCTCACAAAAAATAGATGTTTAAAAATTATACATGGTTCAGCCCTACTTTTCACAGAATTCTACTTGTCAGTGGATACAAATACCTTTTTTTCACCGTTCTTTTCATTTCCAGCTGTGTCTTCACCAGTGGTAGAAAAATATTTTTAAAAGAAAATATTATTTTTCTAACCAAAACAAAATTCAATTTGAATTATACCTACTGTTGAGGGGAAAAACACTTTTTCTTTTCCAATGGCCTTTTTTCCACCGGCTATGAACTATATTTTTAAAAGCGAACATATGAACAGATGAATCGAGCCTCGACGACGTTAGTGTGACATGAAGGCCATCTCACCACCAAGATACTTGTCATCTCTTGTGAATGATAAAGCACATTCACCTTTGGAAGTGCGAGGTTAGTACCAATACCATTGGCGTTATTATAAAACCATCCCTGAAATCGCATTGGAAAGCAAACACGGAAGAAACGCCATAGATTATCCAAACACGGTGACAATGCCGAGGCATGATATTTGTTAACGAGGTTCAGTCGAAACCTACATCCCCCAAGCACTGATTACAAGGGTTCCTCCCTATCCAGTATATTACAGCGTATTAGAGTTATAACGACTCATGGCCAGATGTCGCCGGCAACTGCTCAATCTCAATATACTAAGTAGTTCTACGGTTAAAACAAGTCTACTTTCATATTTAAGAGAGAGTTTAGGATATAATCCAACTCTTACCCTATTGTTACAACTTAAAGTCTTAAACTGTAACCGACTTTGTACACATATTTGCTACAAACTCTAACAGGCGTTGACATGGATAGTATGCCCGTGCCCGGCGTGACGAAGTTCTCAGCGGCAAAGTGCATGGTGCGCTAAGATGTTGTATTTCAGCGTCAAAGACTATCATGCTGACATGGGGGGTCTAATTTTAGTTAAGGTTTTGTGCAGGGTCCATTCTACACAAAAGTTTCAAAA